GGCCCAGGCACAGTGTGGACAGCGGAGGGAGCGCTCCTTAGGAAGCTGGGAAACGTCCAAGTTACTCATTACCAGCTCCTCAGGGAAGGTGGGAGAGAACAGGGAGGGAGGGCACGGAGCCAGGCCGGCCCCGTGCCCGGTGGTGGCTCTCCCGGAGGTGCCAGCCCCGCCAGGGTGCTGGGTGACCTTGAGCATACGCTGACCCTGTCAGCCAGGTGCTCAGCCTCGCCCAGAGGGCACACGTGATCCCTCACCTTGACCTGGCCTCGTGCGGTCCAGGGGCTGCTGGGCTTCACAACAAGGAGGACTCAGGCCTGGAGGGGTCCGAGGCCTGTCCTGCCTCCCGCTCCCCAGGACTGGGGGAGTGACTGCCCCTTGTCACCACAGACCCAGCGACCCCGGGTTCGCCAGGTGAACAAGCCGCTGGCGAAAGAGGCACAGGCTTTCTCCACGGGAGACCAGCCTGGGCCCAGAGCGGAGGGAGGAACTGGCTGTGCACTGTGTCCCTGCAGGGGCCAGCGCCTCGGGGAAGCGGGTCTGAGAGTGGCCCGGGGCGTCCTGCGCAGAAGGCTGGATCCCGTGCAAGGGCAGGAGGGAGTTGGAGCTGGATCATGGGCAGGGCAGGAATTGGAGGAAGGAAGGAAGGAAGGAAGGAAGGAAGGAAGGAAGGAAGGAAGGAAGGAAGGAAGGAAGGAAGGAAGGAAGGAAGGAAGGAAGGAAGGAAGGAAGGGGGAGAGAGGGAGAGAGAGAGGGAGAGAGGGAGGAGGAAGGAAGGAAGGAAGGGAGGGAGGGAGATAGTGAATGGGGCAAAGAGGGGAAGCACTCAATAGGCTTCGGTTAGGAGGGTGGGTCCAGGAGAGAGGCCGGGAGGAGACAGGAAGCTTGCAAAGCCATTCACCTGCCCCCGATACCATTCAGATAACGGGATCTCCTAAACTGCCCGGGGTGGTTAGACAGGTCCCCAGGGAACCAGGAAAGAAACTCTCAACTTTTGTCCAAATACCCCCTCCTCCTTCCTGCCTGACAGAGCACATACCTGCACCCTCTGCCCACCAGCTGGCTGTGCGTTTTATGTGAACTATTTCCTGCTCTCCAACAGGAAGTCTAGTCCTGATTCTTCTGGCCCTCATTTGCACCCTTCTCCCTCTTTCCTGCATGCGTGGCCTCCTCAACATCTCTCTCTGCTAGGAGAGAGACAGAGCGAGAGCGAGAGCGAGAGCGAGAGCGAGAGAGAGAGAGAGAGAGAGAGAGAGAGAGAGAACACACAGCGTACACACCGGCTCCTCCCCTGCACCCATTCTAGCACCCAAGGCTTTCCACACCCACTCCCTCCAATGCATGTCTCTACAAGGGCATCCAGAAACCGTTCAGCCCTGGCCCTGGGTCTGGGGCCAGCAGCAGGCAGGACTGCGCAGGAATCCCAGAGAAAGAAGCTGCCAGGACTCTCCTCTCCAAGGCTCTGCATCTCCCCACTCCTCTGCAACAGCTGGCCCTCTGCAAGGTTCAGCCAACCCCCCCCCCACACACACACACACACAAGCAGGAGCCTGTGCAGAAGCCAGTAATCACTTAAGCTGGAAAGCACTAGCAGGGCATTAGCACTTTAACGGAGAGGCGGGAAGGCCCCGCAGAATGGAGCTTTAGAGGCTGGTTTCAGGGCTGGTGGAGGTTGTGTTTGTTGGGGGTGGGGTGGGGGGGTGGAGGGGTGGGGGGTGGGGAATCATGATGAGCTACCGAGCTCGGGGCCAGCTGGTGACTGCCATTTACAGACAGGCCTGCCTGTGCTATCCCTCCGTTTCCACGGCTTCGCTCTAAACCAAAGGGGAGGGTTCTTCCCAACTTTTCGTCCTGGGGGTGGAAGGACTAAGGTCCAGAATTTGGACCTGCTCCCCTTCACCCGCTCCCTCCCATCCCATCCGCCCTGCCCTACCCCCACCCCTTTGCCCCCAGCAGGAAGCCCCAGAGGCCCACAGTGTCCTTCCCAGGGGTGTCAGCTCTGGGAGAACCAGCGGTACCGGGCCCAAGAGCACAGGGGATATATGCCTTGTACCCCACAGAGTTGAAAAGAACCTACTCATAGAGGCACTTTACGGTATCTGGTTCTAGAGACAAACAAATGCCTAGGTTCACACCCAGACTAGGCCTCTTCTTTACAGCTGGGGGACCTGGGGCAGGTCTCTTAACCTCTCTGTGCCTCGGCTCCCTTCCGCAAAACGGGGTAACAGTAGACGCTTCCGGTTTGCTGTGAAGGGTAAATGAGTTGATACAAGTGGGGTGCTGAGGGCAGTGCCTGGCTTTGGGTAAGCGCCCAGTAAAGTTAGTTATTATTAGTGCCATGATCGCTTTTCTTTTCTGCGAGTAGATTTTCTGCTGCAAGACCCTTCCCGCTGCCTGTTCAGAGCCCCCTGTTGAGTAAGGAACCTGAGGGAGGTGCAGGGCCAGCGAGGAAGAGACAGCCTATCTGGACATGTACCTGCCCCTTCACAAAGTCCGGCACAACAGCCTGCTGTTTAGAACCACACTCGTTCCCCTTTTGGCTCAGGCAGGGAGCGTTTGTAAATCAAAATGCTTAGAAAACAAGAACAAAGCCAGAAAAACACCTCGACCGACCTCGAATGAAACTCCAGGCAGATCGCCTCACACCTGTCACAATGGCTGCCATCAATAAATCAACAAGCACGTGTTGGCAAGGATGCGGAGAAAAGGGAGGCCTCCTGGCACAATCGGCGGGATTGCAAATTGGTGCCGCCACGTTGGCAAAGAGGATGGAGATTCCTCAGAAAAATTAAAAGTAGAACTTCCCTAGGACCAGCAATTCCACTCCCGGGAGAAATCAAAAACGCTAACTTGAAAAGACAGATGCACCCCTCCATGGACTGCAGCTGTATTTACGATAGCCAAGCTATGGAAACAGCCCGAGTGCCCATCCATAGACCAGGGGATAAAAACGTGGTGGTACGGCCGGGACCGGTTTGGCTCAGTGGATAGAGTGTCGGCTTGTGGACTGAAAGGTCCCGGGTTCGATTCTGGTCAAGGGCATGTACCTTGGTTGTGGACATATCCCCAGTGGGGGGGGGGTGCAAGAGGCAGCTGGTCAATGTTTCTCTCTCATCGACGTTTCTAACTCTCTGTTCCTCTCAATTCCTCTCTGCGTAAAATCAATAAAATATATTAAAAAAACAAACAAACAAAAAAACAAAAAACGTGGTGGTACGTAAATACAATGGAATATTACTCGACCACACACGATGAGTGAAGTCGGGCCTTTTGTGACAACCTGGATGGACCGAGAGGCTACGTTGCTAAGTGAAATAAGTCAGACAGAAAAAGTCAAATACCAGATGATTTCACTTACTAGCCTAGGTGAAATCTAAAAAACCCCAAAGGCAAGCAAAACAGAGATAAACTCACAGATACAGAGAACAAACTGATGGTTGCCACATGGGAAGGAGGCTGAGGAGGATGGGTGAAAAAGATGAACGGATGAAGAAGTACAAATTTGCAGTTATAAGAATAGGCACAGGCTGTAAAACACGGCCCAGGGAATACAGTCAAGAATATGTTCATGCCTGTCTACGGTGCCAAATGGGTAGGAGACTTACCAGGGTGATCAGTTGACAAGGTATATAAATGCCTAACCACTATGTTGTACACCTCACACTAATATAATATTGTATTCAAATGCAGTTTTAAAAGCAAAAATTAAAAAAAAAAAAAAAACACCTCTAGGCAGAATCAGAATAATGCTTTTAATGCTTTTAAAGACTTTCTGGCTCTACTATACACCATATCCTGTACAAAACCCACAGAAACATTAGTATTCATAAGGAGAGGCGCTGATTAAGAGAAGAATCCTTCCGTTTACAAGAGAATTTCGCAGCGGGGTTAATTGCTCCCTAACTGATCACGTTTTGCCATTTGAGTGGCTTAAAGCGGGGCCCATCTGTATGACACCTGTGCCCTCTCCACCTGCTCTGGAAGCGAGGTGGACAGGAACACCTGCCTTCACGGATTCCTCTAGGAATGAGCCCAAAGGGGTAGCCCTTGGCCCAGCACGGCCCCCCGAGCTTTCTCTGTGGTTCTGCTGCCAGGCTGTGGGCCTGCTCCAGCCCCTGCAACTCGAAAAACCGCTCGCCGCCCGCGCAGGGACTAGGAAAATCTCCCAGCAGCTTCTGGCTTGCAAGCTTTCTACCTCCTGTTTTGGCTCTGCTCTCCCAGCTGCACTGGAGAGCCATCCTGCTACCTTCCCACCGGGCTCCCGGGAGGCAGCCCCATCCAATCGGAGCAGGAGGCTGCAGCTCTTCACTGAAACCCAAAAGGAAGTCTCTGGGGCTATGCCAGGTACTCCGCGGTCAGTGCTGGGCAGAGGCCAGCCAGGGGAGGAGGAATGGAGTGAGGGAGCGGAGGGGATCTGGCACAGGGACAGGGCTACCTTACCCCGCTCTGGGTAGGACACCTGCCTCTGCCCCACAGGCCCTGGAAGGAGGAGGTCTCGCAGGTGAATGGGCTCTGCCTCCAGGTGCCCTCTTCCCCCAGTGCTGGCCCCTCAGCCTGTGCCACCTGGGACCCACGACAGCTGATCTGAACTGATGGCGTGCGTGGGCAGAGTTCGCTGCCCCGGGGGCTCGGTCTAGCCTCAGCCGGCTCTGGCACCTCGCCGGCCCGGAGGGGACCCTCCCGTGCTCCTTCCACCTCACTTCCAGTCCCCGGGGGCAGAGGCTGAGGACGGACCTCAGCCCCGCGCAGGAGGAACCCTCCCTACAAACTCCATCACCCTCTCCCCGCTGCCGGGTGTGGGTGGGGGAGCGGCTGAGAGTCGGTTGACCCCCTCCAGGGTGAGTGGCGGCCAATAAACAATCCAGTCTCGGGGGAGAGTCTTCCGGGAGCTGGTGTGGGTGCAGGCATGGGGGGCGCGCAGCGGGCGGAGGGGAGAGGGGTCGCGGGGATGCGCAGGGCAGGGGTGGGCAGGGGCGGGCAGGGGCGGGCAGGGCCCCACTCACGTCCTCTTGAAGACGCCGCCGAGGACGCTGCCCAGCAGGAGGCAGAGCTGCTGCGAGAAGAAGACCCAGGAGATCTGGGCGAGCGAGCTGTGCGTCTGGCAGCGCAGGTCCAGCAGCGTGGGCCCCAGGAAGGCGATGCACAGGCCGAAGCTGAAGAAGACGCTCCAGTAGGTGAGCGTGGGCTGCAGGTGGCGGCGGAGCAGCCCCGACAAGCGGCCGTCGCAGCCCATGGCCCCGGCGGCTGCTGCTGCCCGAGCGCGGCGCTGAGTGCCGCCCGCCCGCCGAGGGCCCGGCCGGAGCCGGCGCCGGGGAGGGGCGGAGGCCGCGGGAGGGGCGGGCGGGGGCGGGGGCGGGTCTGCGGCCGCGGCTCCGTGTCCGGTGCGGCTCGCGATCCTCCCCGCACCCACGGCCTCCCTCCCTCCCCCGCGTCGGGAGACCAACCAGGAGCCGCTCTCCACCCCGCCCTCCTCCCGCCCGCTCCCGGGCCCGTCGGCTGCCTACGCAGCCCCCGGGTCCGAGGGGCCCCGAGTGCCCATTGCAGAGCCGGGCACACTGAGGCCCGGGGCTGGGAGAGCGCCTTCCCCAGGCGCCAGCGGGCCTGGGCTTGGGAGCCCCCAGCTTCCCTCCCCAACTAGAGGCTTCGCAGGCGGAATTCAGAGTCTGCCAGCGCCTCCCATCCTCTGCACAGGAGGCACCATCTCCTGTGTGTGTGTGTGTGTGTGTGTGTGTGTGTGTTTTATTGATTTTTTTACAGAGAAGAAGAGAGAGGGATAGAGAGTTAGAAACATTGATGAGAGAGAATCATCGATCAGCTGCCTCTTGCACCACCCCTACTGGGGATGTGCCTGCAGCCAAGGTACTTGCCCTTGACCAGAATCGAACCTGGGACCTTTCAGTCCACAGGCCAATGCTCTATCCACTGAGCCAAACCAGTCTCGGTTCTCCTGCATATATTAATATTTGTTCATGGTTTTCAGTAGAACCCTTTGGACAGAAAGCCCTAGAAGCTGTCCACCCTGGCCCTGAGCTCAGCGGAAGGGCCTGGAGCCCATCCTCACCTGCAGCGTGCCCCTTGCTCCCTGGACAGGTGCAGGGGGGCGGGGAAGATGGGGATGCTGGTCCAGACTTTCTCCTTCCTATTTGGGGGAGCAGAGGGGACAGAAAGGGGAGGGTGGTGACCTGGGGGAATCCCAGGAGGAATCTGGAAATAACCCCTCCAGGAGAGAAGAGAGTTCTGGGGGAAATTCCTGTTTTGCTGGGAAAAGCCAGAAGGTGTGGGAGGGAGGATGTTAGCCTCCAGGCTGGGGGTCCTCAGAGGGCCTGCCTCCCGCACCGGGGGGTCCCTCACCCCAGGTGGTCACAGGTGGTGCCGGTGTGGCCTGCCCCTGGGCCTGGACTCTGGTCCTGCATTGTTCTCAGGAGGCAGAGCAGTAAGCCCTGTGCTGCCACCCCTGCCCCGTGTCCTGGTGGTTTTGGAGCCATTATTCATGCCCACTGGCCCGGGGTGGGGGGGTGGGGGGGAACCAGGGCTAAAAGGACTGAGGAGGTTGTGGTGCCCACTGACAACTTGGAATGAAATAGAGACAACCTCCTTCTCTTGCAGGTGCTGGCCCCATGTCCCAGTGCCCTCAGCATCTGCTCCACCCCCACCCCCACCCCCAGACCCTGAGCACCAGGGAGAGGAACCCTAAGGTCTCTGGCTCAGTTGGCTTGTAGGTGATGATACTTACTTATTCAGCCCCGATAATGCTGGGCCTCCCGGTACTTGTGCTTAAAAACGTCTCCTCTTGCCCAAACCGGTTTGGTTCAGTGGATAGAGCGATGGCCTGCGGACTCAAGGGTCCCAGGTTCTATTCCAGTCAAGGGCATGTACCTTGATTGCAGACACATACCCAGTGGGGAGTGTGCAGGAGGCAGCTGAATGATATTTCTATTCCTCTCCCTTCCTCTCTGTAAAAAAATCAATAAACTATACTTTAAAAAATAAATAAAAACGTCTCCTCTGGAAAAACAGAATAATTCATAACCACAGCATTTGATTGAGTCTTCTGAGCTACTGTCACAGAATTCCGGAATCAGCAGCTCGGAGTTGGAGGGAGCCATCTCCAGTAAGCCCCGCCCTCCTCCCCCTCCCACAATCATCAGTGATCAAGGTTTGTCAGCCCTATTCCAGAGGGTACCTTGTATCAATGGGAACCTTACTTATCCTTTCCTGGGGGTAGCCACTGTGGTAGGAAGGGTTTCAGGCTTAACGGGGAGGCGCCTTCCTGTGGCTCCCTACTGCCACCTACAGGACGTCTAGTGGCTCTTGCCCGGTTAGTCCTCACAAATAATGACCTGCAACCCCGACTCCTGAAACCCTTTCATAATTCCCTGTGGCTGTCCATTGGCTCAGCTCCTCCAGCCACCCGGCAGTGTCTAGGCCACTGGAAATGTCCTGTGACTTCATCTGGGCGGTGGTCTCGCCCAGGTAAGCATACTGCATTGTCCGCTGGGCTGTATGCTTAGGATTGGTGCCCTTTCCTGTAAGTGAATTATATTCCAATAAAATTGTAAGCAGACAATGGCAGGTGCAGTACCCAGCCAGGTCAGCAATGAGGTACATTCTGTTCTAGGGGTGCTTTGAGTTCCTGGAGAAGGTCCCATGTTGCCTGGGAAGGCTTCATGGAGGAGGTGATTACTGAACTGGATCTGAAGGAGAAATACATAAAAAAGTCTTGTTTCTTCTCTTTCCCTGTGTCACTATTTTCCAGCATCATCACGTGGTCCACCTCTCCCAGGAACTTTTCCCAGAAAAATTCTTCCCAAACACCAAATTCCAAGGAGCTCTAGACTTACTTCTTACCCCCCTACTGTTTTCACAGTGTCAGCTATCATACAGGGTGGGGCAGAAGTGAGCGTACAGTGGTTCATATGGAAAATAATACTATATATATATTATTTTAATAAAAGGCTTAGCCTTTTATATATATATATTATTTTTATATATATATATATAAAAGGCTAAGCAACCGGACGACCGGACGACCAGCTGGTAGCTATGACACGCACTGATCACCAGGGGACAGATGCTCAATGCAGGAGCTGCCGAGCGACAGTAACTTTGCAGAGTGCCCTCTCGCACTCTGAGACCCCTCTGGGGATGTCAGGCTGCCAGTTTTGGCCTGATCCCCACAGGCCAGGCTGAGGAACCCTACCTGCTAGAGGGACCCCACTCACTATGCAGATGCCCTTCCAGCCCCAGTGCTGCCCCAGGTGTGGCTGGCTGGGAGGGTCTGTGGGAGGTTGGCTCCAGGGCGTGTCCTGCTCATCTCGCCCGGTCCTACCCTGCCATCCACCTCCTATTTAATTAGCTTTCAATGTGCACGAATCCATGCACTGGGCCTCTAGTGATTAATAAATAAGAATACAAGAGTAAACTGTTTCACGAGCTCACAAGTGTAAACCTAGTATGCTTCATCCAGGATTCCACCAACTGTTAGCCCCCTCTTCCCGCCACCCTGCCTCCCCCGAGACCAGCTACACTGTGAGTACTTAAGATCTGGGACTGCATTTACCTGTTTCTAACACTTCCCCCCCTGCCCCTGTCTCACAAAATATTATACCTGCACTTAGAGTCTGGATAAATAGCTGGGGAAGTGAATTATTTGCACGGCACTTTTGCAATTGTTCTTGTTGCTTGATTGACATATCTTGTTCACCAATGAAAGCATGTCTCCCAAGGGCAGGGGCTGCCCTATATTTCCCATGTGCTTTGTATCAAAATCTCTAGCCTAGTGTTAGGCAAACCGCGGCTCAAGAGCCACATGCAGCTCTTTGGCCCCTTGCGTGTGGCTCTTCCACAAAATACCGTGGCCTGGGCGAGTCTATTTTGAAGAAGTGGCGTTAGAAGTTTAAGTTTTAAAAATGAGGCTCTCAAAAGAAATTTCAATCACTGTACTGTTGATATTTGGCTCTGTTAACTAATGAGTTTGCCAACCACTGCTCTAGCCCATTAGCTGGGCACCTGTGGTTACTATTCAATTTTTTTCATATGTTTTTTTTTTTTTTTCATAAAAAAATCTATGGAAAAAATATCCTCGAGTGAGGATAACAATATTTTTTAAAGTTACAACCTTGCATAGTCCCGTTGTCATACACTGAGCCCCTTCCTTGTAAATTGGGAGGGAAAGATCCCTACCCCTCAAGCTCCGGACAGCATTTGAGACCCCAACTATGGAGACACGAATGGGTTGGCGGAAAGGAGCTGTAGGAGTGAAGGGTCCTCAACTCTTGCCAACTGAAGTCGATTCCTTTGCCTCAAAGGTCACCTCCTCTGGGAAGCTTTCTCCCACCTTCCCAGGGTCGTTCGGTGGGGCTGCCAGCCTGAACCATTGCTGGTGATGCTTCCGGCTGCCCCTCCAAGGCCAGGGCCAGGGCCAGGCCAGGCCAGGGTGTGGGAGGTGACGGCTGGGGGAGAGGCGTTTGCAGTATAAAAAGGCGCTGTCACTTACACCTGGAAGTTGCGAGAAGCAATAAAGCAGCCTCAGGTCTCGGGCCATTAACAGGTGATCTACATCCTGGAAATACTCAGGGAGAAAGCAAACAAGATAATGGAAGACAGAAAGAGGAACCGGATAATCTCATCACGATCCTTTTACATGCAACACAGCTGCCCAAATCCCTTCGTGGGGAAACCCCTCACGACCATTTTATTCTTTCGCTGATGCTGTTAGAACTGAAAACCTTAAATATAAAAAAGAATGTGGGCTCCTCTACGTGCCCAGGGGCCTGCCCTCGGTCCCCAGGACCCTCCAGTGAGTCGCTGCTTGCCAGAGACTCTCAGGAGGCCAGGCGGGAGCAGTTAGAGTGAAGTCTCTAGTTCAAGGTCACCATGCACATTCTGCAGTTCCCCTGGCCATCCTGGGGCGCGAGGCCGCCCCTCCTCCACCTCCAGATTTTGGTCTTCTTGGCCCCCACGTCACTGCCTTGCTGCCCAGGGTGTGGAGAGTGGATTGGCATGCTCTCTCTAAGGTTGGCACGGGGCAGGTGGTAGACAGTTTGGTGCCAAGGACTGCACCCGGATGAAGCAGCCACCCTGCCCCACATGAAGGCAAACAGTAGAGCTGGGTGTGTGCACAAAGGGCCTCCTTTTCAAATATCCGGATGAACCGAGTTTCCAGCCGGCCTGGAGAGTGGTGGTGGTGGGGGGGTCACTCGGTGGCAAGGAAGAGAGGAGAGGCAGGGGCAG